CTGTGACAGCCACAATATGGAATTTATTTCACAAGTCTGAAAAGACCAGTAACTCATTAGCCCTGTAGGTACCATGAATATATTAGTATCAAAATAAGCTCTGCATTCTGCCATTGCATTGTTTGATTTTTTTTATTACGCTCACGTTGAATTTTAATCATTACACTTATTTAGAAAAAAGAAATTAATGATTTATCTGGAATAGTGGAGCATTAGGGTGATGCAGGAATCAGCTCCACTAATAGTTTTAACAGGAACATTGTCTATGGTGTATGTGTTTTTCAAAACGTGCATTATTTATCTAAAAATATATAAAGTGGAGAATGTAACTTTGTCAGTCTCTGTCCAGAATATCAGCAAAGCTGGATGCCTTGTGTACCTGTGTTTTTTGTACACAGTGTTTCATCGTTTTGTCCATGTGAGTTTGGTTAGATCTCGCTTTTCCCTTCCTTCTTGAATTTGTGGTGAAAATATACTTGCAGATTTTAGGATTGAATATCAGGACCAAAATTTACTTACAACATTGTAAAAAGATAGTATTTATTCTCTGTTCAGCAATTTAAGAATAAATCCCCTAATTTTGCATGATCTTAGTTTTAATAATAATAATCCTTGCATTTGATATAGCACCTTATCACATTGTTGAGACATCTAAAAGCGCTTCACAGAATAGATTGTAAAGTGGATTGAGCATCTACTTGTCTACAAATTTAAGAATGTGTGCAGAATTCTATAAAATTGATAAATATAACTTTCATTTACAAGTGGCTTTCTACAGTTTTGTTTTGAAAACTGACTTTCAAATTAAGATTGAATTCTGTACATCAAATGTTGGTATTGCGGTGGATAAAGACTTATGTAGAATTTCAGGCTTCTGGTAACCTCATGGAAGGTGTCCAACATAATACCAGGAGCCTGCTCTCCCAACTGGGGTGAAGCTTACTGCCTCTTCTACAATAGAAGCACATCAATCTGTTCAGGCTCTAGGTCAATGGTGTTCACCTTTGAGCTGATAAGATTTGCCAGTGAAAAAATCTCCATGGACAGTGCTTTTCCTTATTAGCACAGCTTCGGTAGTGAATGAACCTGCACTGCTAATGATACTTTTGTTTAAGTGCTGAAAGCAGTGTTTCACGAGTTAGGTTTGGATGTGCAAAATATGGAATTTGATACGTAGCAAGTCAAAATAGGTTTTATTTTATATCCCAGTTTTGTGTGAAAAGCCTCACACAACCGTGATTTTAAAAAGAAAAATTCTATAATTCTTTTCAAGGTCATAAGAATTTTTCTCCTTTTTCCCTCTTCATAAATATAATTGTGTTTTTTGTTTCTTACTTTGAGGAATATTGCTTCTTCAATTTCTTTGCTGACCCCTCCTTTCCTGACAGTCATTGTGGTGTACAGTTTTAAGACCAGGTTCAACCTTTCAGTACGTTGATCGAGTGGCCATTCTTCAATTGTCAGCCTGAATAGAATGTTTAACTGTGGGGAGCACCTATGTGAAGGCTTGTTCTACTCGCACCAAATATACTTCCACAAGTGAGTTTTCCAGGAATGGTCATTCGATAGTAGTTGAGTGCAAGATTTATAGGCAATTTTGCCTTTCTTAGCCCAGAGACATTGAGGCCAACTGTAATGCCCTTATTGCTGCCATGACTAAAATTGGCTAACTCAGTGTAGATTAAATATTGAACCTCAGATTTTCCAGACCTATAAAATTCATCACTATCTTGAGTATCAGGGTTTATCCAATGGGCCGTCATCAATAATGATTGAATCTAGAATTACAATAAAGACAGAAAAGATTTATTTGAAGCATGTCATCAATAATGGTTGCCTGTATTCATTTAATCCAATTTACTTGCATTACTTTATCAGATAAAGGACCAGATTCACATTCAATCCACCCGCTACAGTGAAATCTTCATCAATTTCAATCTGGGTGTAATCAGATTTGATGCTTTATTACTTTATAAGAAATTCCTTGGAGTGTTTAGTTATTCTAACATCAAAATTGTTGACAAAGATTTCATTGAAATAATCAGTACAAATCCAACAAAGAAACTAATTTGATAAACACAGGATGCATACATTAAATATGTCAATGTATTCACCTCAACTAAAATTATAACCCTCAATAAGAAATACGAACCTATACTAAATTTTTGAATAAACTAAATTACTAAATAAAAAACTAAATTACACACAGTAATTCTGAACCAGTAATATTAAATTGTAATGTTCTGCTGTTTGCATATCAGTGGCAAAATTGAAGCAATGCAATTTATGTATTTTATGAATCAGTTGTGTTGGTAAGTAAAACAAAGGTATTATTCAAAAGGTGACTACAATGATGCTTGTTGGAGGAAACTAAGCCTGCTTTGAAAGATACATTATTATATTTTCTGTAATGTTTTGAAAGAATTTGAAACTGTTGTTTTTGAAATACACATAATTTGTTTAACAACAAACGATTCAATATTGTAGTTTCTAATGTTGCACAACAAAATTTTGTTACCCTCCTCCATTTAATCTTTCAAAATCACTGTTTCATGGTGAGATTTTGTCAGTCAAAGTCTGGCACCTTACCCGAGTGACTGTTCTTCATGCATCAGTTCAGACAGTGAATGTCAGGTTGATCCTGTCATTTCCTAACATCTTCCAGCAGGGCTTTCTGGATAGTGATCATGAAAGGGAATCTTGACTGCTTTCTCCAATCCGTAATCCAGAGGTGATCTTGGGTAATTTGGCACAAATGAGAGATCAGCATAAATGGGACATTCTATGTCTGTTATGTCGCCATTTCCTGTGCAGCAGTGACTTTACCACCAAAACCATTGGGAAGTTCAGTTTTGCCCGCTCCCCACCGTATTCTACCGTATTTATATGTATATATAACATTTTATGTATAACCTTTACACCCTTGCCATTAAAACATCAAGTTGTTCAGCGTTTATTTGCCTCTGAAGTTTCTGGCCATTCTTAGACGGTCAACAGAGGCAAAATCCAATTGTCAAATCACTTTCTGTTTCATGTCCATTGCCTTAAAAGATTGTGCAAGCTTTTCTCAGTGTGTTCTACCACTTATATTAAGCACCTGCACCCTCCTGTAGTATTCTCTGCCAGAACATCTGTTCTTCCTCCAGGATATTGGCTGTGGAACATGTCCTCAGTCAACACTGTTTTCTTCAATCTCAGCTCCTTTCGGTTGGTCTGTGGCATGTGTGTTGCTTCTGCTTAACATCAGATTTATATTTAGATGATTTTATTGCAAGGAAGTCACTTTCACAACTTTTTCACAGCTCCATACAAAAGTAGCAGATTTTTGTAAATTTATATCTGCTTGTTGCGGGGGTGGCTAGGGAGGAAAAACCATGCAACCTTGAAAATTGTCATCAAAATGCATAAGCATTTAACCATTCAGATAATGATCCGTGACCCTGTGCACAACTCAGAAAACTGTTTACATAACAGTTCCTTGCGTCCTCCAAATGCAAAGTCAGAACTTGAATGTTAATCCAAAGAGTGGGAGAAATATAGTTTGCTTTGTGTATAAAATCAACAAACTGCAAACTCTCTGGATGGGTAGATTAGAAGGACCATTAGTTTATCCTACTTGAAACTGTTACTGGCTACAGTGTTGTTATATCATATTCATTCACTGCTACCCACCAAAACTAATTCTTTACTTTAAACTTACACTGAGCGGATTACCACTGAGAGTAAATGTGTCCTTTGCCTAAACTGTGCCCAGCCCTCAAAGATTTAGCTTTACCCTCAGTAACCTCTCTAAAGACTTTCCTCTCATCTGATCACCTGAGCTGTAATTTGAAGTCCTGTTAGTGGGGGATATGGCTGGACTGAATGTTGTGTATCTGCATGAACAAGAAGGTTGGAATTTTACTGATAAGAGCCAATCTGGATACTTGTGGTTTTGGAACTGTAAATGATGTGCCAGTGCAATGTGACATGCTTGAGAAGGTTGCATGGAGTTCTTAAAGAAACTCTGATGTTAAGCAGAAGCGACCGTATTGTATATACGCAGGTAGTTTATATTGAAAATTTTAAACTTGTATCTGAGTTACAGCAACAAATCCTATTTTCAATCAATTTTCCAATTTCTAATCTTAATACTGCACCTGGTTCTATGTCTGTGTGAAGGAATCAGCACAAAGTTTTTCTACATTTCTTATCTGCCAGGTAATACCATAATTGATAAACCATATCATGGGCGGACTGATAACCTCGACAAAAGCTACTGGATAACCTCTCCACATGGTTGCTTGGATAAGACCGAGACATGTTGTCCCTTGCTAGAGTTGCTCTGTGACAACCTTATCGCTGTATTTGCATGTGCAAATCACAGGGTAGGCTTAAGTCTCTGCAAACCAAAGTTTCCTTCCCCGCCATACAGGATGTAGCACAATCCTGCAAAAGCAGCATAAAAAAACAGACATTTAAAAATTAAGCTAAAAGTAATGCCAATTACAGTGGAAAAAAGGTGGTAGAAATAATCCTGTGTAGCTATTCCAGTGTCTTGCTATCACTGCCCCATACAAAAGCAACCCTTTGGAAATTAGGCTATTTTAGTATTTTTCTAATATCCTCTTCTCCGAAAAGTGTTCATGCTAGGAGACAGTTTGAAACAGCAGTCATATTAATAATAATAATAATCCTTGCATTGGATATAGTGTCATTCACATCGGGAGGACTTCTCAAAGTGCTTCACAGGATATACTGTGATGTGTAGTGACTGTATTTTGTGGGCAAAATTATGACGTGTGGAGAGAATTCCACCTGGGTCTAGATTTAGTCAATTAATGTAGCATTTCATAATTCTAAATTCCCAATTGTTGGAATTTCTACCCCTATGATGATGATTATCATATAATGGCAGAACTTTCACCCCTTGTTTTTATTATTAAAATCTTGTACCTGAAGCAAATCACCTGTTGCTTCTTTTGGAACAAAGTAACATTGTGTACCATTTCTTGCACTAGGTCAGTTACTTCGACTGAAGATGTTTCGAGAGGATCATGGCTCCTGGATGGTGATGTTCTTTTCCACTATTCTGTCCCTGTTCATCTTCTCTAATATTTACAACATGTGCCTCACACTCGATGGAAACATGAGGTAAGTTTGTGAGCAATTATTTCTGCTAGTGAGGCTTCCGGAATAACCATCCTAGCATCTTCCCATAGCATCAAGCTTTTTTTTTTGAAAAAGCATCCAGCATCCTGCCTTAAACCACCTTTCCTGTTAACCAGTTAGACATTGACTGTGCTGCTTTTGTTTAAATCAAGACCTTAGTTCACAGTGTTATGGTCATTGATTATCTTGCCTACGTTTGAGAATGTGACCGAAATGAAAATTCACAGGTGTATCGTTGAATTAAATTGACACATTTTTCAAACTGAAACATTCCTTAATTCATGGCATTGCCACTCAGCCCTGAGATGAGAGGGGGTTTGATGTCATTTTCTCTGTGCTTTACCGACGGAGGAATCTTAAATCTGTCATATTCTTTTTCTGCGAACTGCTTGTCAATTACAGATCCACTTTATGATTCCAGATTCAGCCACACTTTGTGAACTCAAGCCAGATTCAAACAGGATCTTCACTGAGTAAATCACCCAGTAACGTTTAACTCCTTTACTGGTGCAAACCTAAATATAGATCTGAACTAAGTGCCTTCTGGGCTTTCATTGCAAATCAGGAAGGAAGTGCTGGGGAAGAAAGTTAAGAGTAACAGCAGTGATGTGGAAACCTAAATGGGAAACTTACTCATGGCAGCCATGCGCTGATGGTTTCCGTTTCAATTTTCATATCTTATTGCAATTGTAACCTGGCCACTGCTTGTTTCTTTTTGATTTGTATTGAGAGATCTCTGAAAATGTTTTTATTGCAGTGGGTGCAGCTCAGGCCTTGCTATTTTTTTCCCTGAAGCTCACGATACTGTTCCTAATGGCTGAACAGCAACAGCCCTTCACTTCACAACAGATGGCTTTGTGTATTGCTGCTGAATTTGATTGACACCAGCTTCAGCTTCAGTCTCAAACTGGCAGGTTCAAATCGCCCCATTGATGAAAGGTGTTTAGATTTTGTGGGCCGCTGTTTGTGATTTCTATTAATAATGAATAGAAATTGAAGGAATTGAAGTTTCAGATTAAGTATGTTTTGAACTGTTGCAAGTTTAGAGAGGCTGTCAGGAAAGAAAGCAGGTTTGGTTGTGTACCTAAATGCATTGCCAAAAATAATAAATAACAGTAATAATATTCTTTACATTTGGTATAGTGCCTTTCACTTCAAGACTGTGTTTCAAAGCACTTCAAGGGATATACTTTAAAGAGGAATGACTGCGTTTTTTGTGGACAAACTGAGAAGGAGAAGAGAGATTTAAATTCTGCAATGTCTGTCTATCCAGAGCCATGTAGTGGTACCCACACTGGTGTTGAAACTAACTAACATATAGCACGTTTACAGTTTTCTGCATTGTTAAATTTGTAGCTCGTCCAATTCCAATAGTCTAAATATATGGATTGGGAAAGGATTGGAAACGCAGGCTCTTAACCCTCTTGTGTTGTTCTGGCACAAGAATGAAAGGGTTGGTCCTAGTAAGGCAATTGCAGTGGAGAGCTTTGAACTTGGGTCCAAGACTTTAGACTTCCTCTTCAGTTGGTTACCTTGTAGACCTCTGATGTCGGATACTCTTGAACAATGTCAATCACCTCCTTTTCCTCCTTTTCTTCATCTTGGTTGCTAGGTCATGTGAATGGCAGGTTCCTCACAAGCACTCAATAGTGTCAGATATGGGAGCTGTAGAGACTCAGCTTTTTGGTCAAAAATTGTCCTGTCAACAAATTGCTGAACTGAAAGCTAAAACCTGCTGAAGTGTAATTTGGTGGTTTATTTCACACTATTTTTCACACTTGTTTGCCTCTAATGGATGTTAAGTTTGACTTCTTAGTGCTGATCAATTTCCAGTTGTTAACCTGTTTTAATTTGAGCAATTATTTGTAAGCCTCAATGTAGCACAGTGGTAAATTGTACATCTGCACCAGTAATAAATGGGACTAATTATGAGGTACCCATCCATCCAGGACTCAGAAGGGACAAGTCCACTGGTTATCTTTGTTGAAATCTGGGTTTTATTTTTAATCCTTTTTTTTAACACAGTTCTCATTAGTGGAGAAAATGGGGTGAAAAATGTGGCCTGTGATGGTGATGGGATAATTATCTTCTCACATGTTGCATTTTCCTTCTCTATGAATGGTTCACAGTGTCTGATTCCCATAGAAACACTGAACTACGTTTTCAAGTTATTTGCTAATCTCCAACACAGTGGAGCCTTCAAGTAATCCTGAAATCAAAGTTGCTCTATGTTAGTTAAACAGAATATGAATAGACCACAACCACGAGAGCAATTTTTTTTAATGGTCATTTTGATTTATTACTGGAGATATTCTTCATCTGTCTCTGCATCTACATTTGCTGTGCAGTTTTTCTGTGTATGTTGATGCATTAAAAGTTGGTTGTCTGTGAAAATTGAAAGAGAACCAAAAGAGCAACATGTTGAGATTTGAATACAAACCAACCCAGATTTGTTGACCCAATTGTTTTATAGTTCTTCAGAAAATGTCATCTGTGAATGTATATAGTGATGTCTATAACTGGAATCTTTAATAGTCACGCAAATGGGGATTCCATCTGGGAACCAGAAATACATTGTGCTGACCTGCAGTGACACTGCTCTGATGTGATCTAGTTGCGGAGCAAGGTTCATGCAATGAGATTTCTGAAATACTGCAGATTAGACCTGTGTATATCCATTTGTTAAATGAACAATCACTCACCAGGTACATCACCATTCAGAAAAATGTCCATCTGTGTTGTAGTTCACTTCTGTCTGCAAAATACAGTCACTATGCTTTACGGCAAATCTGTTGAAGCGCTTTAAGATGTTTTCCTGACGAGAGAAGGGCTAGATCAAAGCAAGGATTATTCTTCTATCTCACCTACTCTGTGCATTGAGTTAAAATTGAAGTTAATCCACTGGGTGGTGCTGTGGCAAACGTTTTGATCAGAACTTGCTTTGCATATGGAGAAGTCAGAAGAGCTTTAGACATATCCCTTCTCAACAAGGCCTTTGTTAAACAACCCCATAGTGTGAGCACCCTGGTGGTGCTACTAAGGAGGGTTAAGATTTTGTGAGTACCTCTTTTCAAGTTTTCAATGTTATCTATTGTTTTCCACGTCAGTCCACAAACCTTGCTGTTTTGTCTCCAAAAAGGCCATTTTGCAAAACTGTCTGCCAACAAAATCTGAACCTCAGTGCTTCTGTGATGGTGAGACGTTTTATCTCATTCATTTTATCTCATTCATTTTATTGTTATTATTGCCGTCTCACATGACCAGTTTTCCCTTTGTTCTGTGCTGTTTCCGCATGAAGGTGGAAATGAAAAAGCAGGTTGGCACAGATACAAATCCCAGCTCTCTCCACAACCCTGAGGCTGAGGGAACCACTCAGATGTTGCTTCCTAGATCTTTCTCTCAGAAGTTTCTTTTTATTGGAAGCGCTTTGTGAACTTGTAACCTCCCCTCCACCCACACACTCTCCTTTTTACAAAATAAAAGGCGTCATACAAATACAGAGGGATTTTGTCAGGTTTGCAGGTTGCCAGCTTTCATGCAGTAGTGCAATTTACACCAGAATCTTCTGTGGTTTGAGGTCAGTAATTGCAGGGAATGATTGGCCCCACTTCGGTGGCTGTTTTTTTTACTGTCCATTTGTATTTTCCCGGATTGTTTTTCCTGGCTGTCTAATGGACAGTCTTCTTGAATGGGAATTCAGCACTGCATCTGCTGTTGAAATGATACTTTGGAAGACACTTTGTGACTGTCTTCTTAGGGACATTGTTTTCAAGGGACATTGAAGTATTGGAAAGTGTTCAGAGAAGAATGACGAAGAATGATTCTGGGATTTGGTGCTCTGAGATTTGGACAGACACTTGCAAATCTGAACCAGTTTTCATTAGAAAAACAGAGTGAAGCGGAATCATTAAGCTCTCCAAAATAATGAAAGGATTATGTCAAAAAAATAAAGTTTAAACCTTTTCATTTTTTAAAGATTTTCGTCAAAAGCATATATGACGAAGAAGGGAATAGAGGATATGGACGAGGAGATTAGGAGGGGTGGGGTTTCACATGGAGTTTAAACACCAGCATGGGCTACTTAAGGGAATGGTTTGTTTCATGTTGTGTAATGCTGTATGCAATGATTCGGATTGAGCAAAGAACTGGTGCTCACATGGACAAATATAATCGGCCTCAAGTGGGAAAAAAGATTGTGTTAATTTCTCTAGTGATAATAGAGATGCATCGACAAACTCAACGAAAGGGAGTCAATAAATTACCATCAAAAATACAGATAAATATCTGGTTAGAAGGTTAGGGTTACGTGTAGACCAAAATTCTTAAATACATGGTAAATGGTGATTCCTGTGCTGCAAGTAATTTATCTATCAAAGCAACCAGCCACGGGTTTGTGATTACCTCCTCGTTAGCCATTGGAGAGAAAAGACTTCACCTCCTCTGTATGATTTCAAGTTTTATTCCCTGTCTCATCTTATTCGAGCGAGGACAGCAGTCAGGGCATGGCAATTGGACTCAGTACCTTTGGACAAGGGAAAGGGACAAATTAGCTAGGGCAAATTAGTAAGGCTTTCTTCCAAATCGTTCTTGTGGTTCCGTTTCTGATTGCAATCCAGTGGCTCTTCCTGGATGTGTGATTGTCTGGCGAACACAATCATATAGCCTGCTGATAGGCACTAGCTCCCAAGGCGAGGTAACAGACGCCCACAGAACCATTCCTCAGAAAAGAATCATTGCCGTTGGAAGAAGAGAGGAGGGGGGACAATAGATTTAAAAATCTCTCAATGGTCCATTGAATGGGAAGATGATGTAACATTCTCTGCTATTCTGCCTTTGTATGATTTGTGGTAAAGCAGTGACCCGTAACAACACTGATCTTCAGTTGTAAAGTTTTTATTTATATGTGACACAAAGGCAACAGTGTAACAGATTTGATTCAGGGCTTTGAAAAACTGACGCTCATTTATGTGGTTAATACTCCC